TTTTCCTGGGCAGACAGCAGCACAGAAATTCAGCAGTTGTGGTGCTTGCTTTCACTTTCCTGGCTGTGTGCCCATCAGGCCGAAGCCTTAAAAAGCAACGATGGCGGATAAGCTCAAGAAGCGATGACAAAGCTGCTCCTTGCCCTCGGGCCGAGCTCAGTTGTCGGCCGCTGCATCAGGGTTGGCCGCCGCGCGCGAGCGAGAGCGAGTCCGCGAGGATGAAGCAGCAGAGCTGTCGCGGCCGAAGAAGTCTGAGATCTTGGGCTGCAGTCCCAAGTGTCCTGCATCCCAGGCCTCCCAACGAGTGCGTAACATCCAAGTGACGGAGCCTCGCGCCACCATGGAGGGGACGAGTATAGGTGGGTCAAGGACTTCGACCTCAGTCAGTGTCCATGCCCAGTACTCCTTGTAATCCAAGTCCTTAGTTGCTGGAAACACGTGCTGGCACACACGAGCAGCGCGCAAGCCGACTGCAGCCAAGGAGCCGAAACTGCCTCCTGATTCTCGAGAAGCTCCGAATCCGTCATGAGGTGCGACTGGGTGATGGTTGCTCTTGCTCGCAGGAGCAAGCTTCCGGTTTCCATGAGCGTGATCCGCTCTGGGTGAGGGCAGCGGCCACCGCGGATTTCAACGCGCTTCTCGCCTTGGAGAATCTTCGCAAGCCAATATGGCCGGATTTTCAAGGCGTAGGCCGTGGTGCCGAAGGCGACAGCAGCATTGGGTGACTGGACCTTGGGCGCCATGAGTCACTGCAAGGGCAGATGGTATAGTTATGCCTCGAGCAATAAAGCGGCTGCAGCACGCACATGCGGTGACTGGCTTCCAGAGCAAACGGTTCAGGGCGAGAGGTACATGGAATATGCGTATCCAAGATTGCTGCAGACATGGACGGCCCTGTACCAACAGCAACTGCATCCTGGCTCTACTGTCGCAAGAGGCACGAGCGGGCAGATTACTTGAGGCGTTTTGCATCGCTGGTCTAGACTGCCTGTAGTGGCATCACCACAGATACATTGATCCAACGGCTGCCACAGCTGTATCTGACATCCCGGCTGCACCTCAGATGCACAAAACACCAAAACTTTGTGCAGCTCTTTGATTCCGAGCACTCCAAGCTTCTTTGAGCTCCTCTGCTTCCGGCATGTATTGGCATCTTGCGCTCGAGGTCCAGCCAAGATTCTGCCCAGCATGACGCCAGCGGCCGTGATGCCTCCAGTCGTCATCTCCATGCCTCGGATTGACATGCGCAACAAATGTCCCTAAAAAACCCAACAGGTGCGGATTTCGAGAACGCAGGCGCTGTGCCGAAATGGCTGAAAAATGGTGTCCCGGGGTGTCCGGGGGCGTCCCGGGGCGTCCCGCGGGCGCCCTGGGACAGGTGTCCCGGGGGCGTCCCGGGGTGCCCCTGGGACAGGTGTCCGGGAGCGCGCCCGTGACACCCCGTACGCCCCAGGACGCCCCGGGACGCCCCCGACGCCCCCGGGACGCCCCTGAACGCCCCCGGACGCCCGTGGGACGCCCCCGATACGCTGCGGGACGGCCCCG